TTTCCAGCTGCTCTTATACATCATTTAAGTAAAATCTCAGGAAGATCAATAGTTTTGTAGTTCGAATTTTAGTGACGTCATGTGAAAACCAGCTATTCACCTGTATTTTTAATTCAAAAATTACCTGTAAATAACACAACATAACTGAAATTATTACATCTTTCTTTATATTGATCTTTCTTTGGGAATTTTTCAGACGTTTTTTTTACTCGATTTGGGTCATGGTGGCAAAAAGGCAAAAAGTAGACGGAATAGACCAATTTCGATATATTAAAATTCAGCCTTAAACAATAGACCTCAGTACGAGGCTCGGGGGAATGACTACAGAGTTTGTGGGGTTTATTCCCCAGAGCCTCGTGCTGAGGTCCATTGTTTTAGGCTGAATTTTAATATATCGAAATTGGTCTATTATTATTGTTATTTCCGATTGACACCAACCCACCCGGCCCCGAGAACAACAACACAGAAAAGCGCGGGTGGCCTGGTTGCCATTCCCCATTGTTCCGATACAAATATGGCGGATGATTTTCGCGGGGCGAAGAGCAGAACCACAACGAGTATTTCGCTTTTATCGCTTCAGAGACCTTGGATGGGAACGAAACGGTGCAAGTACTTACCCTAAAGACTCATCGCACGCTTCATTAGGTCAATTAAGCACCATATGTCGCTTGTTTTGGTTTCAGCAACTGACGAATTTAAATTAAGCGGTCCCGACAGGAAAATTCAAGCGAAGATTTATGCTTACTCAGCTTGGGTGGCAGTGTTCTCACAGATCCTCATTGGCAGGCTGATGATTGTTCTTCTACTGCTGCGAAAAAAGTTAACGGCTTAATCAGAGGTTTGATATCGTAGTTTGTGTCAATATCTTGTTTAGTAAACTATGGCAGATGTTCACGTGCCAAGCGATGGTGAAGACGACATTTCAGTCACTGGTAACTCGTCAAACCATGTTTTGGACAGTGACGAGGATAGTCTTCTAGGTTTTGAGGACGATTTCGAAGGAGACGACGAAGATGTTGACATTGGCGAGCCAACGACTTCCAATGCGACTTCAAAAAGTAATGGAGAAGTTCCAGCTAAAAGGAAAAGAAAAAAGATTGATCCTAGCAAACGAAAACGTATTCGGCGAATTCTTCGTGAAGATGAACTGACTGACGTAACGATTTCGGCGCAGAAAGAAGAACGAGAACGTTTGCGGCGCCTTGAGCTCCAAAAAAGCTTAGCAACCGCAGCTTCTAGTTCACTACCAAGCTCAAAAGTCGTCGAAAATTTGAGGTCTGAGTCGCCAGTTAGTACCTCAAAACCGTCTTCCCCAGTTGCTGTTGATGTCCGAGAGAAAAAGGATAATGAACCACATATTATTGTCATTGACAGTGATGATGAAGGTGACACGGAATCTCACTGTTCAACTGTTAACTACTGTCAGTGTGATTCACAAAATTCCGCTGAAAATTTAAATGGGGATTTAATTGAAATCATCAGTTCTGATTCTGAGGTTGAAGTAGACGATAGTGATGATGACGATGATGATGGGAGTGGTGGTCTTAATGCTTGTAAACACAATGATGTTGACTATGACAATAGTGGCTTACATGCCGATGACAGTGCCAATCAAGTTGATCCGCAGGGGCGGGTTCTTGTTAATGTTAATCATCCCCTTGATGAAGAGGACATTTTCCTTGCTCCGCAGATTGCCAAAGTTATCAAGGCACATCAGGTACGATGAATGCTTATACTAAAACAGTTTGAATTAACACCAAAGGTACTAAAATTATGTGAAAATAAAATTATCTATGAAGAGCATTTTATTAGAAACAGGGCACTTCCTTTGTAATAGGGGTCTTTTTGTGTATTGGAATGAGGCATATTTATACCATGCCATAGAAAACAAAGGCAATCATGATATACTAAAGCTGTAGTATATTTGACAGCATTTATTGCATCCAAGCTTCCCATCATGTGCCATATGTTACTATGTCACAATGATTGTGTTAGACTGTTCACAGTCCCCTATTTTTGTATACATCATAGATGTCGATTGTTGAGTTCGATGGGCAGCCATCTTGGTCTCTTGATGTGAGCTAAACTGGGGAGAGTATAAAATACAAAATGCCCGCCTCTACCCATCGGCATTTGGTACTCTCCCCATTTTTGGTTGCATCAAGAGACTAAGATGGCGGCCTGTCAAATTCAACGATCAACATCTACGATCTCACGGAAAAATGGGGGACTGTGAACAGTCTATGATTGTGTTGGCTATTGTATTTTTCTATGGCATGGTATAAAATAGTTATGCAACGCTCTCTTATGATGTACCAAGAAATAAGTCTTACTTGTCACTTGTATTTTCTTGGTATAGACACTCGCCTAAAGGCTCATGTGTGTGCTGAAAAAATTCAAGTGACCAGTGGGATATTCCATGGTATATCAATCGAAAGCATTGCATAACTAGAATGTATTTGCTTCTATATGAGTGCTTCTTTAAATGGGGCATTTACTGTAATATTGGATATGGCACTTATCAGATATAGTGTGCCAAACAAAATCATTTCAGCAGTTCATGTCTTTCTTTTTAGTAGCAGCACTGCTGATAAGTTCATTGTACAATTTTATTTATTTATTTTTTTAACAGATCGGAGGAATAAGGTTCCTTTATGATAACCTTGTAGAGACACTTAACCGTTACAAAGTCAGCACAGGATTTGGATGTATCCTGGCCCACTCAATGGGCCTTGGAAAAACTCTTCAAGTGGCTAGCTTTGTTGATATCTTCCTGAGATATACCACAGCTAAGAAAGTCTTGTGTATTGTACCAATTAATACGATACAAAACTGGCTAGCAGAGTTTAACATGTGGTTGCCATCTAAGCCTGATCTTATCACAGATAGTAATGGCATTGTTGTGGAAGCATCAGATTCAAGTACAGTTCGTTACAGGGATTTTAAAGTGCACTTGTTAAGTGACAATCACAAAACTACAATGGCACGAGCTAAGGTTATAGGTAAGTAGTATCAAATGGACCTTTTTTATATCCAAGGTTGTAAATAAGTCTCCTTACTGATTGGCATACATTTCTTTAATGTTAGTTTTGAGAATCTGGTAATGCATCAAGGCAATGCAGTACATATATCCTGTACTGGGGGAATATTGCCTTTGGTCTTTCTTTTACTTAAGTAGAGATGGCAAATGGTCCTTCAAAAACCATGGGTCTCACAAAGTTTGTTTTGAATTTGACAGGTCTCACAGTCTCGATTTTTTTAGCAGTTATGTGTGTATCACAGTGTCAATTTTTTCACAAAGCTGTCACGCAGTCTCGCGTTTTGGCAAGGCTAAGGAAGTCTTGAAGTACTGATTTGGTAATTTTTTTTTTTTTTTTTTCAGTCTAGTCCGGATTTTTGTAACCTGCGGCCTCTTGTTTCCATTTGATTGTCTTTGTTCTCTATTGACTGAATGTCTGATTTGTAAGATAGATAGCATATGCTACAAGGGATCTGTTCTGTTGAACGAGATCCCCTTAGGGATCAGACATTGGCCTGATTTGAACAATAATATATAACTACATTGTGGCAGAAAGATTATTTTGAACACATTATTCATAGATTATTAAAAACCTTGATCATATAAGTTTTTATTGCATTTTATTTTTTCTAGTTTCATAGTTCTGTAGTTAATGTATTCCAGGTGAATTAATATGACTCCTAGGAAGACCATGTACATGTAAATATGATAATGTACAATTTCATCTTTAAATGAAGATCAACTGACTTGACTGTAAACCTTTAGGTGAGTGGAATCAAAATGGTGGTGTCCTTCTTATGGGTTACGAGCTTTACCGGCTTCTCTCCACCGTGACGCCTTCCATGTCCAGCATCAAGAGCATGCCGACTAAAAAGAAGAAATCACCAGCACCTGACAAAATGAATGGTGAACCAGAAGTGATTGATCTGGATGAAGAGGAAAAGCACATGGAACTGTTAATTGGTTAGTATTTTACTGATGAAATGTTCATGGGAGAAGGAAATGATTTTATTAGTCCTTACATTCCCTACAATTTTGGACAATTTGAATGAGAAATTAAGACTACCCCTCCCCCCATTTCAATGATGGTTTTGGGTTTAGTGCCAGTTCATCACAGGGCTCGAAAAACCGCCGTCCAGTCGTCCCGGACAAATAGAATTTCCTCCCGGGCAAGTAACTTTTCATTCTCACTTGCCCGATGGGCAAGGGCTGAGGCAAATCATCTGCCAAGTAAATAATAACAACATAAACTAAGTTTTGCCCAGGGCAAGCAAAATTCATGAGCTGCTTAGATTAAGGGCATGCTGGTACTCACGTGTTTTTCGAGCTCTGCATCATTGATTGGGGGGGAGGGGTGGTTTTATTTCTTATTTTATTCTGACGAAGATTGTAGATCAGTGCATCAATTCTCCTTGCTGACAGCCATACAGTTCTTTTAATGTCACTACTGAGAATTTGGTGACCTATCAAGACAATATAATTACTTACTTGATGGTTTTCTTTACTCTTATCACCTTTACCCTTTAACCCTTTAACCTTTATTTCAAAATAATATGTTGTAGAAAATTATGTACTGCATACAAGTGTGATGAATTCACATGATTCTTGTTAATAATTGCTATTTTTTCCCCATCCCATCTCTTGACTAAGACTTGTAAACTCAAAGTCATTTGAATAGTACTTTATGATAAATACAAGTCAGAAATCTCATGGAAATAGCAGTGACATTAGCCCTGTGGCTCTTTCCCCTTAACTTCATTGTTTGTTTCCTCAGGAGTCCAGAAGGCTCTTTGCAGACCAGGAGCTGATCTTGTCATTTGTGATGAAGGGCATAGGATTAAAAATGACCAGGCAAATATTTCACAGGCCTTGAAAAAAATCCATACAAGGTACGAACTTACTTCATGTGCCAGAATGCTAAAATGTTTACAGTGTGATCCTCATCAACTGCATAACTGTATGATTTTTTTTTTCCAGACGTCGAGTGGTGTTAACTGGTTACCCTCTACAAAACAACCTTCAAGAGTACTGGTGCATGGTTGACTTTGTGCGACCCAACTTTCTAGGAACCAAACAGGAGTTTTGCAACATGTTTGAAAGGCCAATACTCAATGGACAGTGCTCTGACAGCACACCGTCTGTAAGTAAAAAAAGCATTGTTTTACTCTGTGAATAATTTTCGTCATTTAGCTTACTTCCAGAGTCAAAAATTATGTAAATTAATATTTTTCTTTTTATGTAATCTGTGGATGACCATTCATGTAAAAGCTTTAACCAAAGAAATATCTTAATTGAACATTTTTCCCTGGACCATTTCCACGATGTCATCCTTTTCAGATCGTTTTCATTCAAGCAAGAATTAAGCCTCACTACTCAATTTGTCATGCCAAATTTAGTAAATACTGGCATGCAAAGTTTCATAAGAATTTATTTTCTAACTTGCAAATTCATGGAAATAAGGCACCCCAATTTTACCAAGAAATCTATGCCTGGAGGGAAGTGCTCACTCTGCAGAATGAGCCACCTACAGCTGTACTCATGGTTTCACTAAGGGCCAGGCACTGGGCAAACTGACTGGCTGTAGGAATGATTTTGCCCACTTGGTTTAACCTATCTAGAGGAAAGTTTTTCTTACAAAGAAGTTCAGTTCAAACAGTTTTTCCCATCTGTGAAAGCCAGTTGCCCTCTTGCTGAAAATGTCAATGAAACTCCTGTCTACTCCAACAATACAGCCACCTACCTACAATTGTACTTGTTTTCATCCTGTTTAGGATGTGAGGGTGATGAGATATAGAGCCCATGTACTTCACAGCTTGCTAGAAGGTTTTGTACAGAGGTGAGTTAGACTGTAACAGACATTATTCAGTAGTTGCTTTATGACTATTGTCATTATATGTACAGTACACTGTAGATAGAAATTATTCAGTTTATTGTCTTATTCACAAGCGATAACAAAGGTGTCTGCATTTGGAGGGGTGGTGGCTTCATCTTAGTGGTCTGGGTGCAAGCCATGGCCAGGGGCATTGTGTTGTGTTCTTTGGCAAGACACTTCACCGTCACAATGCCTCTCTCCACCTAGGTGTACAAATGGGTATCAGTGAATTTAATGCTGGTGGTAAACATGCAATGGACTAGCATACCATCCATGTGGGGTGGGGGGGGGGGGGGGGG